GCATATGGAAGTGGAGGAAGTGAATGAAGCCAGTCTGTGTTGATAAGGCTTCCAAATTAAATTAAATTTGTCTGACAAAGCAGCAGCTCTCATTTACAGTTATCTCATTCGGCTCTGTACTTTTCTCCTCTCAGAAGGGTTGTTTACAGCACACGCGATTTCTGGTTAGCTTCTTAGCTTAGCCTCCTTCACAGCGACACACACACACACTTCAACAGAGGCCACGCCTCCTGCAAGAAATCGCTTCTCAATAGCAGCGAGTCCAGACCCTCTGTATGAAACAAAGTGAAGGACAAGGTCTGGTTTTTACCAGGCTACCCTAAAATACAAAGTTAACAACTCTTAAAGGCTTTTTCAGCACACAAGTCTGAACTGACTGAGATTTATAAGCTTTATTTATCAACATTTTATCTTTGCTGTTGTTCTTTTTACAAACACTGTGACAAAAATAAAAGAAAAGCTTTGCCCCTGACCTTAAAGACAGATTTCTCCCTCAGATGCAGACATCGCTGATGTAGTTGTGAAACATTTTTATGGTCATTTTATATGCAGCAGCTGGCAGCGGGGAAGTTTATTTTCAGTTGATGATTTAGGAGTCAGAGCTGAAGTTTGAGCACAGAATGAAAAGATGCAATTTTTGTCACACAACCATGTCAGTAAGAGGAAAATCTGGCTGCTGTGATGGAATATAAATCCACTGATCCTCAAACTCTTAGCCTGGTGTTTTGTGAATGTCTTGGTAAAGAGTAGAACATGCAGCTCGTCGAAAAAAACTGAGATTCCACAATATTTTTCTGCAAAACAGGATGTTTGTGTGCAACAATATATCTATTTTCTTAATGTGATTGCTGTGCATCTTGTTGTGCACGTGCAGAATTTTCATAATCTCTAATCTCGGATCTGTTTTCAGCCGGACCGTGAAGTGGACAGAAACGAAGGACTGAAATTTGCCCGGAAACACTCGATGCTTTTTATTGGTAAGAAATGGTGTCAAATGATGTCATCCTTGTTTGTTTAGAGCAACAGATCCACAAAATACAAGTCAAAGTCAATAAAACAGTATATTCTAGCAGAAAGCTCTCAGCCAGCCTGTTCAGATGTTATCAATCCATTAAATGGACGTTATTAGCGATTATCAGTCCCATAGAATGGCTTCAGACTGACCCAACAGTGCCCCCTAGTGGGTAACCAGTGCCATATACGTTGGAATGCAACAATCTGCTACCGTCGGAGTCTGGACTACATTATCATAGCCCATGTCATTTTCTCTAAAACTAACCTTTGTGGCTTTATGCCTCATATTAACCAGCTGACAGTCTGAAGCCATTCTATGGGACTGATAACAGCTAATAACGTCCATTTAATGGATGATAACATCCGAAGCGGGTGTCTCAGAACACCGACAAGGAAGTCATGAAATAATGAGTTTTTTTATGTTATTTGTTTATCTGCTGTACTGAAGGAAGAAATGTTTCGATATAAAATACCGTGTGTACCTGTTAGCATCTTCTGTATTAACTTGGTCTAATGGGTTTTACTGATCTTTTAAATCCTTTATTTTTATTCAGAGGCCAGTGCAAAGACCAAAGACGGCGTCCAGTGTGCCTTTGAGGAGCTAGTGGAGAAGATTCTCCAGACTCCAGGACTCTGGGAGAGTGACACCCAGGGTCAGAAGGTCCAGCTGGGGGGACAGGTTCAGGGCAGAGGCAGGGCCTGTGGAGGATACTGCTCTATACCCTGAAACTGGACAAAACAAAAACAAACCTGATAGGAATGATTATGGACCAGAAAAAAGAGTGAAACAGGACAAGTGTTTTGCTTTTTTATTATTAAATAAAACTGATAAATATTGGGGTTCTGTTATTTAAATGAATATTGCTGTTTGCACAATTACTACTACACCATCACCGTCATCATAATCACTTCCAGGTTACTGCTCTGTTTAAACGGTGAATGATAAATCATGCAGGAACGGCCTCCCATCCACGGAGGTGAAGTGTTTTAAATGAACCAAGTCACACGTAGAAAATAATTTTCTGCCCGTTTTAAAGTTCTGTTCTCTGAAAAGTGACCAATCAGTTTCACCTGTTGTTGAAAGTTGAGCTGACAGCTCGTCTCTGCACAGCCAAACCCAAAGTGTCTTGGCCTGATGAGCCATTAGCTCACCGGTCTGATCAGAATTAAACTCTGTTCCTCCAAACTGAGGTCATTCAGCAGGTTCTGTCTGTTTCAGTGCACAGGAACATATCAGCAGAATGCCTACAACAAGCAGCTTTGTAGACAACAGGAAACGGCTTTTAAAATAAACCCTTAGCAGTTTGCAGTCTCCTCAGTTTGTGTTTTTCTGCTTTATAAGCTGCAGTAAAAACACTTCCACTAAAATCTGAACTTTGGAAATACACATCATGACACTTGGACTGAGGACGGCAGAAAACACTTTGCTTATAGTTAGATGAAGGGTTTTCATTCCACACACTGTGAATCCTCCTAAAGAAGAAGATACAGTATGTTACCATCTCAGTTAATGACAGTTTACTGTTATTACTGTTTTGTACTCTGGGGTATAGATGCTTTCCAATTAATCCATTTAACATGTTTATTTCAAAATTATGTTTGAGTTTTTTCTGTCATCTGTTATAGCAGCATTATTCTGTTTGTGTTTATTCCAGTTGTGTAGTGTCTTTTCAGTGGGCTTCATTTTACATTGGCATTTTCCTTGACAGCTTCAGTTTGGTTTGGAGACTTTATAAGTTGTGTTTCTGCTTCTGTCTTCTTGTAAAGAAAATCAAAGTGACCATGATTTTTTTTACTATTATAGTTACATGTAACATTCAAATCTGCCTTAACAGTGAGAGATGCTTGCCAGAGTTGTAGCAAATAATGTTTGAATTGTTTCAAACTACAATAAATGACAGCCTGAAGATAATGGCTCTCAGCTCCAGTCATTTTTAAAGTGTTGTTTTAAAAGCTTTTGTTTAGTTTCAGCTTAATGAACAAAGTTAGTTTGACACAAATGCAGGAAAAACAGAATCTAATAGGGGGTTTCATTTTCCAGAATTTTTTTTTTTGATGACTTTTCTGTTCGGTATGCAAGAATAAAGAAAATATTTGATGAAAATTGATTTAAAAAAATACACAACGCTTGTAAAATTATAGTTGATCAGATTGTAAGATAAGCGTATTCAATAAATTGGAATTTGCAGAAAACCTGCTGATTCTCTTCTAAAAAAGTTTATTCAAAAACCTGACTCCATTAAAGCTCACAGCCAGAAGGTTTCATATCGGCTTTATTCAGACAGCTGCTGGTAACCATTCTCATTGGATGAAGATCCAGTCTCCTTAAAGCTAACACAGTAAAACTTACAGCTAAAAAGGTCACAAATAACAGAGCAAAAACAGTAGATATCTTGACTTCATTAGAATAATATTTGACCATTACAATATAAAAATCATAGTAAATATAATGTTAGATTTAATCAAACAGGCTGTAATCTTGAACGCCACTTGGATGCATGTCATTCCCCAAAGGAACGTTGGTTACGTATTGTAACCCCAGATTCTATGAGTGTAAGCGCAGCCCTCTAAGGCTATCGCAGATGGGTACCCCCGTGCGCGTACGCGCATTCTGAAGACCAATAGTC